TCACTAAGGGGTTAAGCTAAAGTTGTTTAAGTGCCTATAGTGTCCATTTAAGTGAATATAATTTAATTTCATAAATAGGGAACAACATGTTCCTTGCTGGATCAATCTCTCCCATAGCATAGGCAGTCTGCAAGAGAAAGGTGTGAATGCACGCCAGGCTGACTGAAAGCCTCAAGCCCCACTCAGGGCAAACCATGGTCAGAATGCTGCTGAAGCACTCTGTGTATGGTCTAGTTCCCTGACACCATTCAACACAGTACAAGTATGTCCATTAAGACATTCATGGTATGCTGCTTGGAGATTGTTCTCTGGTGTCCCTGAATGTGTACACCAGAGAAGAGGACTGGACTGGGGCTCTGAAGAGCCACTCACCGGCAACACGCGCTTCGGGGCTCCATCCGATGTACTACCATGCTCCTGTCACCCCTGATCACGGACCTTCATAGAGATCGATTGACTAAATTATTAACAGCGATCGCAGGCATAAGCACCAGCACCAGCTTTTTTTGTAATGCTTGTTCTGACTATTTTAACGCCACGATCGGGTATCTTTCACCCAAGATCAGATAAATTGACTAAATTGACTTGTATGCTATACTAACCTTAGCAGTTTATAGCCCGGACATTGTTTTATTAGATAGGCAGTTACTTTAGACATATTCCCACTATCTACAGGTGCCCTGGAAGGCACAGATTTAGTTTAGATATTCTAGAAGCCCTCGAAGGCACAGATCTTATCTAGACTTTTTTTTTTAATTCTTTATTTTTCACAAAAAGAAGTGCATTGCATATATGTGACAATGTATAGGCTTACGCAGAAGCCACAGTACGTTTTCAGATGTTTCAAGCATACAGAAGGGAAGAGTGATACGTTAAGACAAGTTGCATGCATATATGTACACCTCTTATCTCTTCAGTGGTCTGTCTGAAATCCTGAGGTTCGCTGAGACTGTATATCATGGTTTGTCTATTAGGACTTGCTGTGGATTCATGTGTCACTTCGATTAGTGTAATTTATATACATTTGATAACTAAAAGTACCATAGCAAACATTTGAAAATGATACAGTAATAAAAACAGTATAAACAGTAAAACAGTGAGTTGGTGTGTCTGTTTCCGCATCCCGGATAAGGATTGTTGTGTGCCCATTTTGTCGTCAGCCCTGAGTGTGCGTTCAGTTCCCTTGTCCACCCTCCATACTCTCCTGGTACTGTTCCCACAGCTCCCATACTCTGCCAAATTTTTGGGTGGTGTGCCTGACCAGGGAGGTTAACCTGTCCATAAGGTAGTGGTCTTTTATTTTTGCTAAGACCAGTGCAATGGGGGGCATTTCCGGGTATAGCCATTTTTGTGCCAGTGCCCTGCGGGCTGCCAAGTAAACCATGTTTAATAGTTGTTGCTCTGGGTGTGGAAGGCCTTCTGTTAGCCTGGAGAGGAGACAGGCCCATGGGTCTAACTGTAATGGTCTCTGCATTATGTTCGAGCTTAGTTTGGTGATTTGAACCCAATAGGCCTGTACTGAGGGGCATTTCCACCACATATGCACATAGGTGCCTTGTTCCCCGCAACCGTGCCAGCATAGATCTGTGGAGGTGATCTGCATGTGGAATTGTTTTATTGGTGTGGTGTACCACCTGAAGAGCGTTTTGACTGCTCCTGGAGGGTGACACAAATGGATGATCGGGCTGTTGCCTCCCAAATGTCCTGCCAGTCGGAGCCCTCTAGTGTCTCACCCAGGTCTGCCTCCCACTGGTCCGTGTATCAGAGCTCCCCCCACTCTTTGGCTTCCCCACTAAGGTGAGAGTACAGTAATGAGATAAGTCTCCTGGGGTGTTTTTCCTGGTAGCAGATATTCTCGAACCAGGTAAGGGGGAGGGTGGCCATCTCTTTGACTTCTTTGGTGCTAGCAAAGTCTCGTATCTGGAGGTAGCTGAAGAATTCCCTGGTTGTTAGGGGGTATTGTTCCCTGAGATGATCGTATGTGACTACTTGGCCATTTTTGTATAGGTGACAATATCTCTGGAGACCTGCTCTCTCCAGGCCGCCAAAGTCACCTGCTGTCATTCCTGGTGGGAAGGATCAGTTCCTAAGTTCCTCTCCAGGCCGCCAAAGTCACCTGCTGTCATTCCTGGTGGGAAGGATCAGTTCCTAAGTACGGGGGACATTGGGGAGGGGAACCTGCTTAAAGAGTATTTGGTTGCTATTTGATTCCAGATTCTTAAGGAGTTCGTTATTGCTGGGCAGGCTATCCTAGGGAGTGCTCTTTGTGTCTTGTGTAACCAGGGATAGAACTGTGGTAGGTCTTGCCCCATTAGGGAGGTTTCTAGCTCCACCCATCGTCTGGTGTCTGGTGCAGAGTGCCTATATGCTATTTGCGCTATCTGCGCTGCCAGGTAGTATAGGTACATGTTCGGTAGCCCCAGTCCCCCTCTGTCCTTGGGTCGATACAGGAGTTTCCTGGCTATTCTGGGTCGTTTCTTTTGCCAAATGAACAGGTCAATCGCTTTTTGGAGCTTGAATAGGTCACTCCTCTTAACCGGTGTGGGCAGGCCCTGGAACATGACCAGCAATCTGGGGAGGATGTTCATTTTAACTGAGTGGAGTCTACCTAGCCATGAGATGGGTTTGTCTGTCCACTGCTCCAGGTCCCTCAGGCGTGTGCGAATCAATGGGGAGTAGTTAGTCTCATGTAGGTGTTCGTGCTGCGCTGTGAGTTTAATCCCTAGATAGTGTATGTTGTCTGCCGTGGTGGGTAGGTCTGTGTCTGTCAAATATTAGTGCTTTGTCTCGGGCCGGGAGGTGAAATGGTAGTGCCATGGATTTAGTAAGGTTCACCCTGTAGCCCAATAGGGCTCCGTACATGTCCAAGAGGCTCGTCAAGTGGTCCATGGAGGTCAGGGGGTCTGTGAGAGTCAGCAGCACGTTGTCTGCATACGCTGATACTTTGAAGGTTTTCCTTGCTACACTAATTCCCTGTATGTGTGGGTGTTGGCGCATGCCTTGTAGTAGCGGCTGTAGGGAGATGGCGAATAGCAGCAGATATAATGGGCAACCCTGGCATGTTCCATTATAAAGGGGAAAGGAGGTCTTAGTAGCCCCTACAATTAGGGTTTGGGCTCTAAGGTTGGTATATAGAGCGCTTGTGGCCTGGATGTAGGCTCCTGGGAAGCCCCACTCTTCCAGCAGGCCAAACAAGTATGGCCATTGCACCCCGTCAAAGGCCTTCTCCGCATCCAAGGAGATGGCCAGTGAGGGCACTTCGGATTTCTGCATGTACCATGTTATCGCCGCCCCCCTTCGTGTGTTTTCATATAATTGTCTACCGGGGATGAACTCCACCTGGTCCAGGTGGATTAAGCGCATGAGCATTGGTGCCAACCTGGCCGCCAGGATTTTTGCATATATTTTAAGGTCTGAATTGATCAGGGAGGTGGGCTTGTAGTTTGCTGCGAGTTCTGTGTCTTTCCCGGGTTTCGGGATGATGGCTAGTGCCATGTCGGCATCTGGCGCACCGCCTGTCCTAAAGTGGTTATATAAATAGGTGACGTGGAGGGCCAGTTCTGCTTTGAATTTCTTGTAATACCCTATTTCGTAGCCAACGGGGCCTGGGGCTTTGTTCCCTTTCAATACCGCTATTGCAGTTTCTACTTCTAATTGGGAGATTGGTTCTTGTAAGTTTGTGGTGTCCTCATCTGTTATCTCAGGAAGTTTTACGCTAGCAAGAAAGGTATGTGGGAGGAGTTAACGTTCCTATATAAACGCTACTCCACCCCTTCCTAAATTGCCATACGCACGCTGTTCACCTCGGCTGTGACAGCGGAACTTCCAGTCCTCGCTCTTCCGGTCCAATGTCCTCTCTGTTCCCCAGCTCCTCCTTTCGGGCAACGAAACATACGAACGCCAAGGTAATCGGCAAATAGCCGTGTTCGGGCTATTTGCCATTTGACAATTTCCAACCAAATGTGGATATATTGTACCCTTTACCACTAATGGTTTATTATTTGTTATTTTGCATATATATATATATATATATATATATATATATATATATATATATAAAACAAGAGGGTTGGCTGCACTCACCTTACATGCATAAATGGGGGTGCTGCTGGGGGGCCAAAATAATACAATACACAAGATCCAAGCACTTTCACCTATCCACTAAACAGCTTAACTTCAATGGTAGAAAGATTTTTTATTTTATTTTTTTAAAAACACCCACCTAATCCTGAGCAAAATAATAGGGGTTTAGTTACATTATACTTGATCATACATTTTGCATAAGCCTGCCACAACGTCAGTATTACCCCATCTTTGGCAAGATTCCTACACTAACACACCAAACCTAATGTCTGCTCTTATGAGATTAACCCACTTACTTGAGGGAAAAAAATCCATCTGGGGCTCTCTGCAGTACAAGGCTAAATAGGGCCCTGGGATGAGGCACCTGTGACAGGGAGGGGTGCAAAACCAAGGAGTTAGCTAGACTCCCAAATATATATAAAACAAGAGGGGGTTGGCTGCACTCACCTTAACATGCATAAATGGGGGTGCTGCTGGGGGCCAAATAATACAATACACAAGATCCAGCGCACTCACCTATCCACTAAACAGCAGCTTCAATGTTGAAAGATTTTATTTGTTTTTTTAAAAACACCTAATCTAGGCAAAAATAATGGGGGTTTAGTTACATTATATGATCATACATTGCATAAGCCTGCCACAGCGTCAATGTACCCCATCTTTGGCAGGTCCTACACTAACAGCCTAATGTCTGCTCTTATGAGATTAACCTACTTGGGGAAATAAATTCCATCTGGGGCTCTCTGCGGTACAAGGCTAAATAGGGCCCTGGGATGAGGCACCTGTGACAGGGAGGTGGGGAGTTAATCTCATAAGAGCAGACATGAGGCTGTTAGTGTAGGACCTGCCAAAGATGGGGTACATTGACGTTGTGGCAGGCTTATGCAATGTATGATCATATAATGTAACTAAACCCCCATTATTTTTGCCTAGATTAGGTGTTTTTTAAAAACAAATAAAATCTTTCAACATTGAAGTTGCTGTTTAGTGGATAGGTGAGTGCGCTGGATCTTGTGTATTGTATTATTTGGCCCCCAGCAGCACCCCCATTTATGCATGTTAAGGTGAGTGCAGCCAACCCCCTCTTGTTTTTATATATATTTGGGAGTCTAGCCAACTCCTTGGTTTTGCACCCCTCCCTGTCACAGGTGCCTCATCCCAGGGCCCTATTTAGCCTTGTACTGCAGAGAGCCCCAGATGGAATTTCTTTCCCCAAGTGGGTTAATCTCATAAGAGCAGACATTAGGCTGTTAGTGTAGGACCTGCCAAAGATGGGGTACATTGACGTTGTGGCGGGCTTATGCAATGTATGATCATATAATGTAACTAAACCCCCATTGGCTTTTTACACTTCGATTGGGTGTTTTAAAAGAAACAAAGGCTTATTGAAGTTGCTGTTTTAGTGGATAGGTGATTGAAAACGGATCTTGTGTATTACATGTTGTTGGCCCCAGCGGCACCCCATTTATGCATGTTGGTGGTGCAGGCCGGCCCCTCTTGTTTTATATATATTTGGGAGTCTAGCCCGGCTCCTTGGTTTTGCACCCCTCCCTGTCACAGGTGCCTCATCCCAGGGCCCTATTTAGCCTTGTGCTGCAGAGAGCCCCAGATGGAATTTCTTTCCCCAAGTAGGTTAATCTCATAAGAGCAGACATTAGGCTGTTAGTGTAGGACCTGCCAAAGATGGGGTACATTGACGTTGTGGCAGGCTTATGCAATGTATGATCATATAATGTAACTAAACCCCCATTATTTTTGCCTAGATTAGGTGTTTTTAAAAAAACTAATAAAATCTTTCAACATTGAAGTTGCTGTTTAGTGGATAGGTGAGTGCGCTGGATCTTGTGTACTGTATTATTTGGCCCCCAGCAGCATTTTGCATGTTAGGTGAGTGCATCCAACCCCCCCTTGTTTCATATGTATATATTTGGGAGTCTAGCCAACTCCTTGGTTTTGCACCCCTCCCTGTCACAGGTGCCTCATCCCAGGGCCCTATTTAGCCTTTTACTGCAGAGAGCCCCAGATGGAATTTTTTCCTCAAGTAAGTGGTTAATCTCATAAGAGCAGACATTAGGCTGTTAGTGTAGGACCTGCCAAAGATGGGGTACATTGACGCTGTGGCAGGCTTATGCAATGTATGATCATATAATGTAACTAAACCCCCATTATTTTTGCCTAGATTAGGTGTTTTTAAAAAAACTAATAAAATCTTTCAACATTGAAGTTGCTGTTTAGTGGATAGGTGAGTGCGCTGGATCTTGTGTTTTGTATTATTTGGCCCCCAGCAGCACCCCCATTTATGCATGTTCAGGTGAGTGCAGCCAAACCCCCCTTGTTTCATATGTATATATTTGGGAGTCTAGCCAACTCCTTGGTTTTGCACCCCTCCCTGTCACAGGTGCCTCATCCCAGGGCCCTATTTAGCCTTGTACTGCAGAGAGCCCCAGATGGAATTTCTTTCCCCAAGTAGGTTAATCTCATAAGAGCAGACATTAGGCTGTTAGTGTAGGACCTGCCAAAGATGGGGTACATTGACGTTGTGGCAGGCTTATGCAATGTATGATCATATAATGTAACTAAACCCCCATTATTTTTGCCTAGATTAGGTGTTTTTAAAAAAACAAATAAAATCTTTCAACATTGAAGTTGCTGTTTAGTGGATAGGTGAGTGCGCTGGATCTTGTGTATTATATATATAATTATATATATATTAATAGTAAAATACACCTAGATGGTGTACGTGTGTGTATGTATATGTGTATATATATACTTAGATCATATATATATAACATATATATATGATCTAAGTATATATTATTTTTTTTTACACTATTTATTTTATTTTTATTTTCAGCCAGCAGGGGGACCACCTGTCATTACAGGCAGTCTCCCTGCTGGCAATGCAGGAGGCAGCTACCCCCGGCCATGTGATTGTGGGGTCCTCGCAAGGACCCCACTCTCACATGGCCATGGGGCTTCGAGGAGGACGGACGTGACGCGGGGGGCTCCCCGGGTAAGTACTGAAAGACCAGACGGCGTACTATTACGCCCGGCGGCGTTTAGAGCCGCCTATAATAGGGCGTAATAGTACGCCCTCCGGTCTGAAGGGGTTAAAGAGGACCTTATTATGTATTTTATATTCTTCATATTAAGGATAAGCCTCTAAATTAATTAATTAAAGTCAGGTGGTCCAAATTATTTTTGTTTTTATTAGTTGAGCCCCCCTGCACTGCCAGCTATGTTTTATTTATTTTTATTTTTGTATTTTGATGCTGGATTACTAATTTTATATATTTCTAGATTAGGTGAATTGTTGCTAATGCAAGGCTTATATTTTGATCACACTGGAGAGATGTGTTATAGTAAATTATATTATACTGTTATGAGGACGTATTCCTTAGTACACATTAAAACATAGAAACATCAACAATTGATAAAATACTAAGTGTATCACCGTGTATCACAGAAGGATGGAATAATCACACTTGCCACAAATACAATATCTCAAATGGCAATCAATTAAAGCAACCACAATGCATATATTGATTAATCACTTACATCAGAATAATAAACAGTTCACTATACAAGTTACAAAACAAAGACCAGTCATAGACATATAGCACTCAGCAGAAAATGCATTAACTATCTGCTCTATAGCATAATACACAGCAAATATAGCGAGGTTAAACCAAACTGACCAAAATTGGCGTTCAAATTAGTTTTTTGCATTTTTCACACACAAACAAATATTAACACTAACTTTGGCCAGTGTTTGTGACTAAGTGGCTACTAAAAAAGACAGGACATACCCTATTTGCAATACCTTGTATTGTCTACTTTTGCAAATGGTATGCCATCATGGGGGTAATTCTTATTCCTGGGCTACCATATGATATCAAAGGCAACATAACCAATCTGGCGAATTTCAATGTGAAAAAAATGAAATATTTAGCTATATTTGACCCTGTAACTTCCCAAAACACCATAAAACCTGTACATAGGGGGTACTGTTTTACACGTGAGACATCGTTGTATACAAATATGTGTATTTTATTGCAGTAAAAGCAAACAGTATTATGACACTCACAGTTAAAATGTCACGTAAAACTAAAAACATTTTTTAAATTCTTAATTTTTCCCATGTTTTTATATTTTATTCATATTAATACCTTTTTATTAAACCTGGTGTATTATCAGTGAATTTATTATCTTTACACCTAATGCATTTCTTTTATTACACTTATACGTGTGTTTTATTTGTGGCACCTTCCTCAAAGAACAGGGACCCTGTGTGGAAGGGTTATCTGTAATTTCTTACAATGTAACTAGCTGGCAATTTAAACACTGGCTTTTCTCTGAAAATGCACTATTAACATTGAAAGGCTTGTAGGGACAGGCTATAGACACCATAACCACTACATTAAGTGGTTCTGGTAACTATAATGTCCCTTTACAGTTACTGTGATCAATTGCTCCACCTCTAGGAGTTTCCTTGGAGGCATCAACTTTAACAGATAAATGCACTTAACCCCTTAAGGACACATGACGGAAATATTCCGTCATGATTCCCTTTTATTCCAGAAGTTGTGTCCTTAAGGGGTTAAAGAAACACACAAACATAAAATGGCATTAATATCTGTGTAAGATGAGTTACACATAGAAGTTAAAAAAAATGGTATTTACTAACATTTCCTTCTTTTTTGTGTTTTCAAAGAAAAAGATTCATCACAAAATGATACAGTATACCAGGCCTGTTGACCCAAAACAAGCGTGAGCGCAGTCATGCAGATAACACTATTGGCACTGCGAAAATTACATGTCCTATATATGGAAGCATTAGGTGCCCTTGGTAGGCAGTATTGCAACAAAGTCAACAAGTCATTGTCATATGCCAGCAATATGTGTAAATACAGTGGAGAGATGGAGTGGGAAAGGAACAGGTAACTAACTAGAAGAAGAAGAGGGCACGGGAAGAACCTGAGGTGGAAGTGGGAATGTAAGAAAGATGAGAGGACCCAACGCCGGGTTTTATTTCCAAAAACATTGTAAAATTGTAACTTTTGGAATCTATCAACCACTTTGTGTAGTGTAAGGGGACTTTGATTTTTCAAAAAATTCAAAAAAGAAAGAAGAAAGAGACAGAGAGAGTGGCCAAAGGAGGCCACCCAAAGGTCAAGTAAGGATAGCAAGGCACAACATGCAGTACACAAGTAACATAATACAATAACAACTAAAAGAATACGTTTCACATGTACTTCCACAACCATGCTGTATTGGGGGGCAAGTAGTATCACAGGTAGAAGTTGCCTAGAGGCAAAATATGAATTTTTCTTGTAAGGACCATTGCATATATGAACAAGTTTACATTGTACCCAAACATGACCCTAGTAACATAAAATAATGTGAGTCTAGGCCAAAATACACTAACAACATAAAAAAAAGGTTCCCCCCTCCTGAGCCCCCACCCCTGAATGGCGGGTGGGGGCCCTAAAGTAAAATGGGGGACTTATTGCCCTTCCCCTACCCCCCACCCCTGAGCGGTGGGTGGGGGCCCTCAATTAGAATAAGGTAGAGGACCTAATGTCCTCCCCTCTGGCCCCCACCCTTAAGTGGTGGGTGGGGGCCCTAAATAGCAATTAAGGGGGGACCTAATATCCTCCCCCCTTGCCCCCACCCCTA